TCTTTTCATGTTTTTCTTCTAGGTGCTTACTAAGGAAGAAGCTTCCTCGAATGTTATACGTTTACCTACCGTTGATTTTTTTTTTCTAGGAGACACCCAAAGTATGCAAGTGTTACATAGAACCTAATTTTATTACAGTTTTTTCCCTACGTTGTATCATGTCTACGAATGAGTAAACAAAGGATGACAATATGACGTCATCCAAAGATGAGAACGAGGGTCACAAAGGGTATAGCGCAGCGGTAGCTACATTTTGAGAAGGTTGAAATTGGGTCACGAGTGCGATACCGTATACCTACACATAGCATGATGGCAGTAGACGCGTTTTATATCGACATGTAGTATAATAGATCAGATTCGACTTTGAAGATGCCTATTTAAAAATACTATTAGAAAATGTGATTAATGGCACTAGCTAGCGACTTTGCTGTTATTTATAGACTGTAATCTATCTATATGGCAAATTCAGATCCGTTAAGTAGTGTTTGCGTACCTAATATACGTCCATAAATACTCACAAACTGCGCATTTATAACATAAGTAATAAGTATAAGAGGTGAATAGTAGTGAGGATTATGGACGTTGATAGTTTTGTAATAATGGCCAAAGTAAAGGACCGACTTAGGACATTCGTTGTATGGACTTTCGATCAGTAACTTAGTTCGATCCTAAGATTTTAGATGAAAATCGATCTCCAGGTTAAGTGAGAGTGGGTATGGAGATTTTCATGTGTATAGCGTAATGATGCTAATATTCCTAATTAAATGAATCCATGATTATCATTTAAGTTCATGATTGACAGTGGATTAAGTTCCTGCTAACATCTTTTTTTATGTTGAAGGACGTCAAACAAGCATGCGGATTGCCTGATGATAAGCAATCGGCGCCGCTCATGGACACCCGCAACACCAAAGGAGTTACGAGTGCGTTGCGGGCCTAAGGATAAGGGTTTCGGATATTTAAGGATTAGGAAGGGATGGAGGGATGGGGAAGGATTGGGCCTCCGGTAACCTCACTCACCGCCGAAAATCAACGGTGTGGTTGTTTCACGCCGGTTTTCTGTGAGGTCATGATATCACTCCGGTTGAGCCGACCCATTCGTGCCGAAGCTTGGCTCTCCCACACGTAAAACATCACATAGTAATGTTTTTTCTATTCTGACAGAGTCTTTCATACCTTTGTATGGATCTCAGTTACTCTGTAGTATATGTACGTAAGGGCCGTCGAGATAAATTATCAGTAAACGTTAGGGTTTACCGGTGAAACTAAGATTAACAAACAAGCAGGCTGGTACACGTATACTCATGCCACTGACTGTCTGCAGTAGCATATACTATTAACTATAATAAATAATATTGTAAGCGCCAAAGTTTAGAATGAAATTTGCGACAAGAAATATTGTAATCTGGAATAACACAGGGTACTTTTTTCAATCTGGTATGCTAAATTTGTTCCAATTTTATGATTTGTAGTTGAGTTATTCTTATCAAACTTACGCTGTGTGGGAAAATTTATCTACCAGTATACGTAAGGTCTTTCGCTATCCGTATTTCAATTTCAAGTATGTACCCTTCTCCGTAGATAACAATATAATTGTTATAAATTTAATAAGAATCTACACTGCACATGATGAGCATTATAAATGTGAATTGACATTTATAATGTACCGATCCAAAATTAACAGCGGAAGCACATCTGACGTAATTTTTATGCAGAATATCGCGGGTATTTATTTAGGTTATCGTTACGATAAATAGTACAGGAATGTGATCCAATACTTATTCTCGTTTGTATTTACCTTGCTACCGAAACATTATATCCAAAAACTTACGAATGAAGCCACTGACATCTCACAATTATATCACTACAGCAGCGTTGCTACTTACGGGTGATATCGTCGCCACTTCCGGATCCCATGTTTCACACAAACAAATTCCACACAACCGGCAAGTTCTCTCGAGAGTGAGTCACAGCATGAGCACACAATGCTACATCAATGTCAAGCAAGCATTCGGAACAGTAGGCGGCTGAGGAGCGGCGCTCGCAACGACGGCGCAGGCGACGTGAGCGCTCGGCGGGTGCTCCGCTTGTGACCGCAGCGCGGTGCTGCTTCAGCGGCGCTAAAATTAGCGATGGTAGCGTCGTGCATACCACACGTCACCGCCGCCTGCCACCCGCGCACTACCATACCCGGTGACACTTTTGCTATAACCTTCAGCAAAGTTAACCAGATAACCAAAGGCATCATTGCACTGATCTACCACTACTTCCATTATATTATATGTATATTATATTCCATGGATGGATGGATCAATCCCATATTGCGCATCCCACCTCTCAACTCCCAATACCTATATAGTATGAACATTTTACTTTCATAAATTATTATAGTTTTATTTGGGGTCGAGTTCTAATTTGTAATAATGATTGAATGGTTATACTAGGTACAGCGACAATATGTTGATGTACAGTCAACAGCTAATGATACGACCACGTGAAACTGATAGGAAACCATTAATAGGAAACGATGAGTCACCACACCAGTAATAAGACGTAAGACTGAAGAGGAAAAATAAAAAATGTGTTATCAAAATTAATACGCTTTCTCGGTGGTAAACCGAAGAATGCAAGGAACGAAGCAATAAGGCTGGATAGGAGCAGGACGATTCGGATGTGGACTGAATAATATACGGGCACCGCTCAATCGGACGTCCGCATGCAGCGCGAGCGTGAGCCCGTGGGTGCCGTTACCCCGACGTTGTGCAGCGCGGTCAACGCTCTTGCCGCTTCGCCACCTCTGCAGCCGACCTCCTCTACCCCCTCTAAACCCCTATTAGACTGGCGTCACATTCGACAAGCTTAAATACACTTACTTAAAAAAGTGTGTGATAACTATCTAATTGTTCAGACAACCTAAGAATTACGTCACGATAATGCGACAAACATGTTAGTTTTGTAGATATGCGCACTAATGCAAATCTTTAAAAGACAAGAATTAGGCACAATGTTCAGGTACTGTAACTGTAATACACTTGCAGATAGGTTGGTGTGCACGGGCATTGTTCTGCAGACACGATTTTTCACGGTCCGTAGCGTGCGGAGCTCAGTGTTCGCCTTCGAATTGAACCATTCTAATTTTCTAAAGCTTACCGTGTCGTACAAAAAACCTGCCGCTAGCGACACCAGCTCTGACTCGAACAATGAAATCACTACAGTATATAGCTATGAATCAGACCAATCATTGGATTTAAGCAAGTCAAAATAGGTGTTTAAACCAAAGACATGGAATGAAATGTAAATATTATCAAAGAATAAAACTCTTACCCAGTCCCATCTGACAGAAGATAACCTCGGCTTCAATCACATGCGCTATTTGGCGTTTTGGTTCTGGAGCTACTGGCTTAGGTGGAGGTACTGGTTCCGACTGCTTCGGAACAGGCTCCACGATCGGGGGCTCAGGCGTCGGCTCCGGTGACTTTGCTGGCTTGGGCTCCTCCGGTAGGGGCTTTTCAGGTGCCATCGGTGCGCTTGGAGCGGGTGGCGAAATAGGTGCCGGTGCAGCGGCTGGCGGCAGAACTGGTGTTGGGTCGCTCGGTGGCTCAGGAGTATAGCCAGCGGCACGCACTGCCTCTGTCCTGGGTTCCACCCGGTGTATAGGAGACTCGCCGGCCGTGTCAGCATCTGATTCACTATCTGTGAACTTGTCAGCGATGTGGTCTGCAGAGGCAGAAGGCGCGCGAGGCGGTTCCGAAAGTAGCTCGCGCTCCATATCTAAAAAGCTGCGTGTAGCGGCAGCCGGCTGGCGGTGAGGTGACTCACCAGCATCTTTTTTTCCATCACGATCCAGATGCTCAAAATCATCCATTGAGTCCTGATCTCTCTTCATAGTAGGCTCCAAAGGCGGTATCTCTCCAGCGGGTACGGAGTCTCCACTCGCGAGACCTCCGAGGAGAGCATCGGCACTATCCATGTTTCCTTACGTAAAAGATAAAAAGGACTGAAGTCGAGTCGAGTGATCGATAGGGTGCGGGAATGGCGCGAGTGCGAGAAGATGCGAACGCGGAGGGCGGGTCCTGTCGTTGGTCCTCACCGTATCGTACTGCGGTCTGCAAATCGTTTGCCGGCCGCGGCTGCACGACGTCACTCAGCACGAGAGGCGAACGGTATTACTCATCGCCGACCCCTCCGATGCAGCGGGGGCAGCGCTGTTTGCCGGCAATATAGGTATAGATAATAAAATTGAAATAATTAAATATGAATACCAATAAATAAAAACAATTACGAATAAATAAGATCCTATCAGAAGTTTCAAGTATGGACAAGCTTTTCCTTCATGTAAATTAAATTTATAAAATTGGGAATGTTTAGCGCAAGCAAGAAATTGATGAGAACAGTATTGACTTTTCGAGCCAGTCCTTTTTGAAGGCGCGCTAAGTTAATACTGTTTTACCGACATGCCCAAAGACGAAATTACTCATTTTCACAAAATTCTGAACTAAGATCGGATACACTCTACAATCCTTGTAGCCGGTCCTTACTCCATTTTGTGAATTAGGAAAATCAAAATGGGTAGTTAATTGCTTTTCTATGTCAATTAATGTTTTTCAGTGAAAATAAATACTTATTTATTATCGAACAAAACAATACAAATTAAACTCTTACATTTTAAAATACTGTTTAGAATGTCTGCCATCTATATATGTATGCAATATTCTTGGATTGTATTTACTGCTATTTATTTACCGATTTTCCCTGTACTTAAGTTTATTATTAGGTAGTGGCAATGGCCAATTTTAATTCATTTTCATATTAAAAATCCATAGCTTAAAAATATTTAAATCTAATAATCCATTTTATATTAAATTACGATTCGTAGAAATAGAAATCTTTGGATTATTTAAAACAAAAGTTAAGAAAACACCATTTTATTTGATTTTGTTCAATTCTCTATGGACTTGTGTCATAAAAAATATTGTCAATGTCAACAACAATGACAGTGACACTGACAGCGCTGTCGATAAAGCAGCCTGTCTATTTAGATTTGGTTAGGAAAACGAAAAATCCAACTAAAAGCGCTTGAAAAGCGCTAGAATCTTTCCGACAGTAAAGTAACTATAAATTGCTGTTTACCTTTATGTGAATAAATAGCGCTGTAGTCCAGCGTAGTTACAGCTGCGCGAGCTATAACAGCTCAAATCATACCATCAATAAAACATAATTCCTCCAACCACTATTTGCCAGATAGTGTTCTAAGCGCTCAGATATCTTCGGCGATAGAATGGCGACAACATTAGCGGGTAGTGGGAATTATAGAGATTTAAGTAAACCAGATAAGCAAGGTTTTAATGAATTAAAAGAAAATTTACAAAATGGGAAAACAACCAATGGTTATGTTAAATCAAATTTCAGAAATGGTGACACCGTAAGTAGATATTCATTTATTTAATATCCTTCCTACATCACAACCACTTGTGCTAACTATGCTCAATAACGCTATGCGACTGAGTTTTAAAGAGCATGCGGCCGCCAGTATCCTCATACATTTACGTTTTCTCATAGTGCGGACTTAAACTAATAGTGTTCCACCCGAAGTATTCCTAACGCCCATACCGCCCATAACTTTGTTTTCCTTTGCTAACACCTGACTTTTATATTTTGGTTAACCTTGATAAATCTTATATGAGTAAGATATTAGAATCTAATTGGGAAATGTCAACTGCCAATACTCTATAAACATTAGTATTTAAATTTTCAAGTTTGCTTAGGGTCAGACAGACAAAATAATCCATGATTAACAGTAACACATAAATTGATGTGTTGTTGTGTACATTATAATGAACAAAAAATTGCATTGTAACTTGTATGTGTAATAGTGTTCCTAGTAAATGGTGTACAATCATACTGGTGTATGGTGTACAAGAATGCAAGAAGTTTCCAATGGAACAAAAAATATGTAGAATGACTGTCGCATAGTGGGTGCCTACAGTTGGCATTCAGCTGAGCTCTTTAAAAGTTTTTAGAGGATGACTATATTGCTCCAGATGTCATGTTTCTGTCAGGATGATGAATCTGAATTATTTTCTAAATTATTATTATTTATCAAAACCCTCAAAAACGGAGAAGCGTTATGTGTATTTTACTCTAGTTTAATAAACTCAATATTCTGAAAAAAGTCATTTTTATTAAGCCAAAGTTTAAATTGATTAGCAGAATTCTTAAATGATACTGAAGCAAGCAAATGTAATGCTAGGAATAAATGTGACTACATAATGTTTGTTTGTTTTACAGAAGTTCAGTTTATCGGGCGGGGGAATACCAAAGATGGACTGGTCCAAGTATGACACATTCCCTGGCTCCTTCGAGAAGTGCACATTGCTAACAGCGGTGCTGACTCACTTTGGCCTGTACATTCTGATGTTCCTTGGCTTTGTGAACCAGCTTCTGTTCACACCAAAGGTTGCCACAGAGAAGAATAGAGAGGTGCGTACTTGTACAGTACATTTAACATTTTCAAAACCTATCTACAACAGGATAGTATGTGTGTGAAGTATGCAAATAAAAGGAGTTTAATGCAGTTACAGCAACTAGTAGACTCCTATACTGAAGTAAACAATCCTAGAAAGAAACAAGCGCTTGCGCGGCACGTTACGGTCGCTGCCGCCCGCGTGGAGCGACGCACCGTCGAGTCTGACGGCCGCCGCTATTGTTGTGTGCCAGCCATGGCATCAATAGCGAGATCACTAGTAACCAGTGCTCAGTTGGCTGCAAACCTGAGTCTCAAATCACTTTGATGATGATTAAAACTTATTTGATATCTTGAAATAATTAAAGGTTCAGCAAATTGTAACCTTAGAATCACTTATCAGCATCCAATTATTATACACTGTGTATTGATGTGATATCTACTACATCGTTATATATAAAAATTTCGTGTCACGTGTTTGTCCGCGATGGACTCCTTAACTACTAAACCAATTTTAAATTTGATTTGCATTCCGTGTGCATTTTGATCCAACTTGAAAGATAGGATAGCATACATCTCAATTTATAGTCACAATATTATTTACTTTAGCCGCAGCAATGCGTGGCTGGGTCTGCTAGTATAATATAAAAATACTTTATACTACACTTACAAGCGTAAATTTCAAGTACCTACAACTGATTTTGTTTGTTGCGAAACATAACTTAAGAAAAGTATAAGTAGGACACCCGGGGCGGGCCCCTAGTTTAACTACTATTAAACACTAATAAACTACTGAATACGATAAACTACGAATAGAAGTAGTACTAATCAATAACATGTTTTATAAGTAGGTATGTAGGTGTATATGCGCCTGTTTTATGGCCAAAGGTAGAACCGGAAACCAACCACAGGAAAAATAAAAAATAAATTTCAGCTTCAGAGGCTATTTACCTATGTATTTTACACAGTCAAGAACATATTACTATGCAGGTTTTAAACCAACTTGATGATCTTACGTAATAATAAGTACTTAAATATAATAATATAATAAACATAATGTATAAATATTAATAATTTTACAATTAGATATCGTAATGGAGAGACACCTAAAGAATGGTTGTGTCACCGCGTCTCAAGCATTAGCGGGTTGCGGTAATGACCCGCGCGGCGGGTGTAAAGGTCTCTACTTGTCCGTAGAAACCTTTCATCGCTTCGGTATACATCTTCATCGTCCAGAGAATCTTTTTTTGATGTGTCTAACTAACAATTTTCTTTAAATCGTACATGCATTTATGTTGTTTCGTACAACATTTCGTACAACATTTGCATAACCAAATATATATAGGAGATAAATATAAAGACCCGGAACAAAATAGTTGCAGATCACACAAGAACACCTCTCTGCCATCGTACAACAGGCGTACGTCGGGTATCCATTGTGTTATAATGTTGAGACCTTTACGATCCGGTCTAAATGTTTCATTTCGTCGTTTATACAACACACATCTCGGTCGAATTGGAATAGCTTGCCTGCAACGGGATTCCCATCCCGTGATGTTTTATAGGTGCCTTCAAGGCTAGAGTGAATAGGCTCTTAATAAACGTTTTACTATCGGGTGACATTGCAGCCAAGCGCATAATCTATATTATTAAAAAAAAATAGTTCCGCACGGGAATCTCAAAGAGAGTCAAAATCTAATAGTATGTTCAAAGAAATGGAATTGTAGAAATGTTTTAATTGAAAGTAGTGACAGCAGAACACCGTAGCGCTGAAATAGTTTCACAAACTCGGAGAAAATGGAGTCACGGTCACGCGGGGCACTCCGCGCCCGCGCATCTTAGTGAGCTGTGACTAGGCTGAGCGACATAACAATCACAGATTGTTTGGGATGCTGCCTTGTAGGCGATCGCGCATTTACTAATGAGCCAGCGACCGTGGCATTACTACTACGACTACTTATAACTTGTGAGCTAGACAGTTGATGTATTTCTGTTGCCGCGACACAACAAATATTAACTTGGCCGGTTTTTTAATATATGTGTGTACAAGGAAGGAAACTATGGAGGTTTTCCTCGCGATCCTACTCGAACAACTCTATACTCGATAACTGCTCAGCTCAAATCGTAGAGTGATGTTTCATTACCTATAGCACTCAGGAACATTGTAGCTATCTATCAGTGAAAGAATTTTGGCAATCGGACCAGCGGTTCCAAAGATTACCTCCTACATACTAACTTACAAACATACAAACTTACAAATTTACTTCTTTATAATATTATAAGTACATATAAACGTTTAACTAGGTGCACATTGATTGCAAGACAACATGATACAGTTGCTTGCTAATTTTTCTCCATAGGCAACCTTAGGTATGTTTAAGAATACGTACTACAAAAATTGATACATTTTACAAGTAATTGAGTAGGTGGTGGAAGGGAAACAAGGTAAAAATAAATGCTTTTGGGTCAATTAATCGAAGTGCTAAAATGCGGTCGTGCGGCGCCGTGCCGCCATACGCCTGATTGCTCCACTAATTAGACGGGAAAAGGTCAGCACATGGGTACCTGTACAGATATGAAGGCCACAAACTGCTACTGACTATAAAATAGGAAATGTAGGGACATATTGATAGGTTAATGAGGCCAGGTCTAGTATATTTTCGTACATTATTCTATTACTTAATATAATTCCTCACTGGAACTCACCAGTGGCCCCTAGCTCAGCAATGGAAGTCAATGTAGTAATTGTAATAGTAAATCAGCGTAGGAATAACTCTGCGCGAGCACATGGCGCTCTCTGAAGTCGAGCATAATTAAATAGTCGGAATGTGAAGTGAGCAGTAGCAGTGCGCGCACACTACATGTGATGTGAGTCACACACACACGCGCACTATCTTATCGACATCGACATCTACTTATGAAGTTGTAAGATACCGCCTATTGAGGACACCACGTTATTTACATTAACGTTCTTCATATTAACTTGATACACATGTAAGTACATACTACACTGAATTACTAGGTACTGAACTATACAAATAGTAAAAGCACCTTCACATCGTTACACGATATCATCTCTTCAGCATACAAGAGCAATAATTTTATTCTTTGAATTCAAGCTTCATTTACATAATACCATCAATGTTGTTTTATGCAACAAGCCAGAAACTTGCATCGTGTAAATAGATCTTTAGTAAGGCAAAGTTGTTGGTTTTTCCTCCTGTGTCGGGAGTGCGTTTACATACACCACCCAGATCCGGAACAAAAATTTGTGGATAACACAGTGTTGTCTCGTGCAGGAATCGAACCCACGACATGATGCACAGCAGCAAGTTGCCCAGCCACTGCATCAACCGTGCAGTCAAATTACTGCGCTGGTTGTGACCCAGCACTCTGGACTAGCGAGGCAGTCTTACTCAATCTCTTTATTTATATTAAAAATGTATAAGATTACCTACAACAAAACAAAACTGAAGTGTGTATGAGTTTGGCAGTCCATGGCAAGGCTCCACCTATTATAAGTTGTGTTGCGTGTTGCAGGGGTACGCGCCGCTGTACGACCCGTTCGAGACATTCTTCTCGCGCTACGTGTACCGGCGCGTACAGCACTGCTTCAACCGCCCCATCTGCTCCGCGCCCGGCTCCGAGCTCACACTCAAGGAGCGCTGTACTGATGACCGCAACTGGACCTTCAGGTACTTCATTCTACTTACTACGCTCTACGTCTTGGGGCTCACACGCTTCATCGTGATAATACATGAAAGCATCGAAATGTCGTCATCGAAAGTCTATTCGGTTCCTGAATAGTTTTATAATGTCTCAACAAAACCATTCTAGTCAATCTCGAATTACTGAAATCCTCTCCGCTATTTCTCGTAAAGCCAATGCCAAACAGTGTCTTACAATAATACTTACATTTGAAAACTACTATTTTAATAAGTACATAGATATAAGTCTACATTTCCATAAACGTATACTTAAGTAACGAAAAATATAAAAAAGTTAATAATCATCGTGCCTGACCTTGTCGCGCACCCAAAAACCTTAAAGTTGAATAAGTAACTATGAAGATGAAGAAGCATTATATGTATACAAGTGTGTCATTCATTACCTACACGATGGAGTAATGCTAGTACCTACATAATAACATATTGCACGTCACACGTCCAGCTACTCGGCAGTATTTGAATAAACTAAATAGGTACCTACTTGCGAAACATCAATAAAATTATATGATTCAGGAAGTGTAGGCACTTGTATATTGAACAATAAGCATTATTCACGCGAACCATTCGAGAAAAGCTCTTGTACGGTCCATATTGGTTTAGGTGGTTATCTAATAGTTGAAGAGGCCGTGTAAAATGTATGCAAAAAATATTTACAAGAACTGCACTAAAAGTATCGGGAATTGAATATTTCCACTGTCCTGAGGGATGTTACGGAAGTGGTTTTATCGGAATCGGAGTCGGAATCGGAGCTTTTAAATTTAGTTTATTGGACTCGGAACCGGAACCGGAATCGGAGTCGGAGTTTGAGAAGGTGACAAAAAAGATATGTGTTAAGGTTACATAATAAAATAAAACATAATGTAGTCAGCCTCTTTAATTTCAATAAAAAACGATAAAAAATATTATAACATAATTTTATATAAATTATTTCATAATAATATGGTTTTCCGAATTTCTTAAAAATAAAAAAAGAGTTAAATCTAATGTTTTGACTCTAAAAGTAGCATAATTATATTTAATAAATAAAGGCTTGGAAGCTTTATCACCATCCAGTCTTAGTGGGCTGTATATTAGTCTAGCACCACTAAAAAGTTGGCCGCTAGCTACCGAGCCTGGTGGACAGGACAAATACTGGCGAGCAATCGGTTTAAGATATTTGAATTTTGTATTTCCATACACTTTCCACCACAATAAGGGTTCGTCGCACATGGGGAGTAGGGCAGCGCGACTTACAAAAACCTGTTCATATGTGTTGACCGCGACCGCCGCTATGCTTCGACCTCCGAAAAAATCTTCCGATTTAAAGTATCGGAGCCGAAGGTGGAACCAGATGTGTAATATGTAATATCAATCGGAAGTTCCGACTCATCGGAATCGGAGTCGGAGCTCCGTAACATCCCTCCTGATCTCTCTCTCTTTCTCTCTCGACGATATGATGATATGGAATAACTCTTACCTTGCGAAACTGTCTGGATTTAGTTTGATTATTTGTATTTTGATCAACCCATCTGTATCTGATGTAAATACATCTACACACTATAAATATGGTGGGTATGTTCAACAGGATACTAGGTCTTCCCCTTATGTTTCCTCCCCTACTGTTAGTCAAACATCCATTCATACTACAAAGTTAAAATATGTTTTTGGGTCAGTTTTACTGGCTAGACGTGGTTGGAAAGTAAGTGGTGCTTTGACTTTCAAAATATATTTTAACCCACTGTCAAAATGTTTTAAACTCCTAAAAAGCATTGAATCATTTCGTCGAAGTTTATTGATATTTTTGTAGGTAAAAGAAAGTAGATAATGTGTTGGTTGGCGCAGGTTCACGGGCACGGAGCGGCGCTGCATCAACCTGGGCTCGTACAACTACCTCGGGTTCGCGGGCGGCAGCACGCAGGCGGCGGTGGCGGCGGCCACGCGCCGGTTCGGGCTCGCGCTGTGCTCGCCGCGCGCCGAGCTCGGCACCACGCAGCTACATCGCGACCTCGAAGAGACCACTGCTAAGTTCCTCGGAGTTGAGGTATAAACCTATCGCAGTTAATATAATAATATCCCTAAAATCCATGTAGATGACGCTCGATTTATTTCCGTGATGGTGCTCATGATTATTGTTATATGATAGATTTGCCGACGCCTCCAACAGTTTGTGGTATTGCTATCTTTCCGCGAGTCGAAGCACATAATAAGTTTATTGCACACAATATGCTTAGGAAATCAGTTGAAGTTACTCCGTACACATATCGGAGACGCAGGAGCTGTAGTTTCGTGCTGACAGAAAGAGTCCAGGGGCCTGATATATCAGGGCAGACAACGATTCGGACAGCTCGAGCTCGCTTAGAAAGAGAAGCAGGTACTGGGTTGTCTGAACTTGCGCCTTAAAGTAGTAGGTATGCGATGCAAGTGAAATACTGCCTCTGTCTATCGAGCACTCTTAATTTCTTCAAGGCAACTTAGCCTTACCCTCTAGATGACCGCGGAACTGGACAACACTCGGTATGTCGACACCAACTTTTCCAACACCGGTCGACGCTGTTCTGGTAAGGTGCTCTGAAACAGAGAAGATACGACCCACCGCAGTTTTTTAGCGATGAACATGCAGACCTGTCTTTGTGGGGTTAAATTGGACAAAATTAAGTCTCACTCAATACGTCTAAGTCGAGTCGAGGTTTCGATCGACACAAGTCTGTTTTCAGACTCGATGATGTTTTACCGAGAAATGTTAGCACGGCCGGCTTATAAGGCATCACCCTTGCACACAATGAATGCAACGAATTTGCAACATAACGTTTATGGACGGACGGATTTGTACGATTCTCGAACTCTTTGTGTGATTCACAAACTGTTGTTCTGGGTCTGGGTGTGGTGTCTATGTGAAATTATATGTTTGTAAACGCACCTTCGAAACTATAGAAAATCATATTGTGAGATGTTTTTTTTAATTGACCCCGCTTATACCTGGAGACAAAAAGCCTATACCTTTTTTACTGGCCTGGTATTTACATCGTGTCCCGCCACCGCATCTGACCAGCACGTCGATTCTATAAAATTTGTTTGATTTTGAATCGTGTTCGAGTGCGAAGTGAGCGTCGATGTGACGGGGAAATTAAATTTTAAAATGCCACTTTTAACGTCATCTCATACTTTATCTATCAAAATGTTGCTGTCAATTTAGTTCAACTCGCAAGTGTAGCGCTAGTGTACTACTACTCACAGCGGATTCAGATTCGAATTTTAGGATGAAGTCTTACAGAATCACACTGCAGGCTTGGTCTAGCTTCCTACGTAAAGCCTTCTTGGAAGAACAGTAGTCAAAACATGGAGCTGAATGCATCCTGTGAATATACCTGCTTAGTTTTTTAACATTTTATGTAGCATTTGATCACGGTAATTTTATATCGGTGGTCTACGTACTTAGATAATAATACCTATGTAAAATTGGGCATCTAAGCAAACTTCGATAATAGGTATGGTGTGTGTGAATGCGAGTGTGGCTTGTTGCAGGCGGCCATCGTGGTAGGCATGGGGTTCGGCACGAACACGCTGGGGCTGCCCGGCCTGCTGGGCCCCGGCAGCCTGGCGCTCAGCGACGAGAAGAACCACGCGTCGCTCATCATGGGGCTGCGCCTCGCGCGCGCCACCGTCCGCGTCTTCCGGCACAACGACGTCCGCCACCTCGAGCAACTCGCGCGCGCCGCCATCGCAGAGCGCAAGTGGACCAAGATCGTCATCGTGAGTACACACCGCTGTGTCCCTCCGGCGACCCCGCGCCCCCTCTCAAGGTAGCACTGCGCAGGTGGTGGAGGGCGTGTACAGCATGGAGGGCACCATCGTGCCGCTGGCCGCCATGGTGGCGCTGAAGCAGCGCCTGGGGCTGCAGCTGTACCTGGACGAGGCGCACAGCATCGGCGCGCTGGGCTCGCGCGGCCGCGGCGTCTGCGACCACGCCGGCGTGGCGCCCCGCGACGTGGACGTGCTCATGGGCACCTTCACCAAGAGCTTTGGGGCCTCCGGCGGGTACATCGCGGGTAAGTCGGCGACGTCGCTTCGCGGCTGGGCTACAGACCTCGACGTGACTAGGCTCGAATACATTGCGTCGGTTTGTGCAGGGTCGGCGAAGCTGATCAACTGGATCCGGCAGTACGGACACATGCACACGTACGCGCACGCCATGTCGCCGCCGGTGGCGCAGCAGATCGTGGCGGCCATGCGCCTGCTGGACGAGCCGCCCGGCCGCGCGCGGCTACTGGCGCTGCGCGACAACACGCACTACTTCCGCGACGAGTCAGTCTCTCTACTCTCTACTCGCTACACACTAAATTACAGTTCTACCATAGAATAACAAGTCGGAATTGTATCCTCACTAGTCCTACGATAGATACACAGTATAATTAAACACTAGCCCCTTATTACAAAACAAGATGTATCTTTAGTCTAGGTTTAAAGCATTGAGCCAGTTTTTGTATTTCAAATTGAAAGTAGGTTAGAATAAGATTCAAAACTCAAAACCTGACTCAGGGGTTTATAACTAGACTAAAGAAAACCCTTGTTTTGTAATAAGGCCGTAACAGTTTGTATTACCGATTGTTGTCGACTATAATGAGATGTTAGCCCTTGTAGTGTATAAGAGAGAGTACGGTAAAGTCCGCGTGTTGCAGGCTGCGGCAGCTGGGCGTGGTGACGCTGGGCCACCCCGACTCGCCGGTGGTGCCGGTGCTGGTGTACACGTTCAGCAAGATGGCGGCCACCGTCGAGCGCCTCACCGACAGCGGCGTCGCCACCGTCGGCGTCGGCTTCCCCGCCACGCCGCTCAACAAGGCGCGTATACGGTACGTACCGCCCGCTATTTTAACCATATAAGTAGATCATTTAAACTGATTTGCCTAAATATCTAACAAGCTGCTCGCTTTTTGTACTTTTAAATATTGTTTACATGTTTGTTGACAATGCTGGCCTTCTTGGAACTGTCTTTTCGTGAAAGCCAAAGGGTCAGCGGATGTTGTAGAGCTCGCTGTGTGCAGGTTCTGCCTGTCGGCGTCCCACTCCCGCGAGCAGCTGCAGCGCTGCGTGGAAGCGGTGGCGCGCGCCGTGCGAGAGCTCGGCCTCGACTACTCGCGCCAGCGGCGCTAGTCCCGCCAGCCGCTGCAGCGCTGCAGGGCTGCCGTCTTCTCACTCGTTACTACTTACTATATTCTATAAATTATTTTCATACGTTTTCCATTGTTTTATTTATTTACTCCTATAAAATCTAGACCCGCCATGATGTTCTCTTATGAGTCCATTTACTATCCCTCAAGTAAAAACTTGCTTATTTACACTGGATAATTACGATCGTTCTCGAGTGATGCACAATCACAAAGGATCCGCAATGTGTATATATTTGCACGATAGGAACATGAGAGCTTATCGAAATTGAGATTTTATAAACTTTTACTGTTCGATCCAAGTCTCGAGTTGGGCGACACTGTAGGTAGATAGAGTGCAAAAGTTTGAAAATGTAACATAGTTATATGTTGAAACTATAAAAGAGTGAACTAACATCGATTACAACAATAACTCGCGGCACAAATACAAGACGCATACGCATGCGTGGGACTCGATCTCGCGTTTCGCTCCTCTGTCGAGCACTCGGTGGTGGGCCCGTCCAGTGTGGAAGTGAAACAATGTAACGCGGCCCCGGCCCGGACCAGGAAAAGGAACGGAGTGAGTTTTAGTCAATAAGAGTAACAGTCCCTGCCGCCCCGCTTAGGGCTGGAAAAGTCAAAATTCGCCATCGTGAATCCAGTTTGCTTTATATGTAAGTATATATATACAAAGAGACCGGTACAATGTAAATGAACGTGGATTGCTTTCCATTATCCAAATCGAAACGAACATTAAATGTCCAAGGGTAGACTAAGTCTGGTGTCACTATTGTTATAGCTCTTTGAGGAGTGGCTAGAGAGAGCCTAGCGTCTTCACCTTCCGCGCCGAACGGAGGTCTCCTTGTCGGTAAGGAAAGTTTCAAGTTTCTCTTCCAGATCCAGCAGGAGGAAACGCCCGGGAGTCGTCCATCTGTAAGACGGTGGAGCATACGGTGGCAGTGGGCCCTGTTTGGGCTGAGCCGCGCACCGCGCCGTCCTCAGGAAAGTGATCAGCAACGGCGACCACTCGCGTCCGACCTTAGTCGAGGCCATGTTGCGCAGCCAGAGGAAGTAGGGAAACTATCTTCTCTTTCTGTGAAGGAAAGACGCTCGCAAAGAAGGTGGGATTATACCCTAAAAAATAAAAGAAGGTGACACTAAAAATATAGGTAATAATAATACATTGGATGATTTGGATGTACAATGTGTTATCTACCCGATATCTATTTCAATGAGGTTCACGGAATCTCTAGATATTGCCTATTTATCTATCCGATCGGTGTAGCCATATAAACTTGTAGATATCTCTATACTTACACATGTATGCCGCAACATACTTATCTATATTTTTATTAAGGAAAAATAAATACATTATTGTTTATTATGTTTGTTCATCGATTTATAATGTATCCCTTAAATAATGGGGATGTCGACTCTTAAAAATATGTAACTAAATACAAATATCTGTTATTATTTTGTCATATAATGAAACAATTACATAAGCAACTCCCGCAGAATTTACTTAGTGGTTCCTAGATATTTGAAATCAATCTACAGTCGAAAGTGTTAAATAGAAAAAATACGTGTGTTATGTTTTAATTGTTGTAAGCCAAATAGCTCGCTATGCGGAGAAACCTACTCTTACTCTGTAGTCAATATAATTTTTTAACATAAACTTATTGATCATTGGTCAAAGTCAAAGTCAAAAATCATTTATTCCAATTAAACTTTACAGGTACCAAAAGTACCTGAAAAACGTCAAAAGGTTAGTAGGTTGGTACCGATTTATATACTTCTAACTTGTAATCGGTTTAGTCAATATATTTTTTCTATTAATATTGTGTAGGTTGGTGTAGGTATACTTAGTTACTCGATATTGTAGTATAGATAAGGTTGTTGTAGCATTTACCTTGGCACCGACGTCAAAATTATGAAATACTTAATGAAGTATTTTACATTATTTATTTTCATCTAATAACAGTCTTCCACTAGCTATTTTTTTTATGTCATAGAAAGGTCGGCAAACGTGCAAACGGATTACTTGATGGTAAGCGATCAACGCTGCCATGGATAGTGCTCCTAATCTTAATACAAAATGAGTTACTACTTTTACAATTGCGTTGCCGGCCTCTTATGGCTTATTTGGGATTTAAGGATAGGATATTTTTGTGGCTTTAGGCAAAATTGTTTTGAATTCCGGCCAATTGCGCGCTTGTATCTATTATCTACACAGCTGTAAAGTTATTCAATAGGTACAATACAGGTCAATGAAGCTAAAACACGAAGTATTTGCTATTAATCGTAAAGAGTAGGTAGGTACCCTCGACCGTCTCTGATGTCCATCCCCTGATTACCGCAGACCTTCATCAAATGCTAGTGTTTTAAAATACAAACAACCGTGAGGTGTGCAATCTCAGAAGATATATCCTGACCTACCTAACTTCTCGCCTATAAAAACAAAAAATACGAATAAAATACTTACTTGTCGTGTCTGATTCCTGCCACAAGTACTTACTTTGGACCTAACTTACCTAATGTACGCATATGACATAGCAGATAGGTAGCTTTCTACAAATTTGGGGCAAATATAAAAAATACAGATAGCACTTGTTTAATTTTAGCACTTGGATAAGATAAATCGTGACTCATAACATTTTCCTATTTTCCTGTATGGTGCGGTAACTTTGTGGCATGCGGGTGACGGATAGCGGCCATTTCAATACTCAGCGGTTCTTACTTCTTAAGTTACCGGTTACATTGAGCATACACCCAGAAACGGACCCATCATGTAGATACCTCTATAACAATGGTAAGCGCTCCCAATTGTCAGTTGTCTTTAACCATCTGGTACATGTGTATTTTGTGTAAGTACGTTTCTGGGAACTATGTACTAGCTGAACAAATCAGTAAATGAATCACACCTCCGTATCTGCTTATCACACATGGTGCAGATACGACAGATAACACTGGGACTCACCTAGTTGCCCACCGAGCGCGCTCACTCAGTCACCTGCCTGCTCACTACAAGCTATTTGTTATTTTGAATTTCGTGACCGCAAAAACAGTTTGAGCGTCATGTGCGTCTGTGTTTGAATGTACGAAGTAATGGCGAGTAGGACAATGTGGAGGCGTGTGCAGTGCGCGTGCGTGGTGCTGCTGGCGCTGGGCGCGGCGCGCGCCGACTCCAACGTCACCATCGAGTCCATGCAGTGAGCCATACACACTATTCTAACCACGCGATACTTCTTTCTTTATTACAACATCTCACTTACTTCACGGCAGCAGTCTCGCCGTTGCAACTACTTAGATGTATCTACTAAAAACCAACCGATAATTATCTATTATTTTACCAAAGTACAAAACGTAAATAATATCTACTACTGACTACAGCACAATAGGTACATATTTTAATAAAATAATTTGTGTTTAAAGACCAAAACGGCACTTTAAAAGTATTTACTCGTCCGTCTATTTTGTATTTTTTTTTTTACTTTTACTTGATGATAAACAATTGGCGCAACCCGTGAACATCCGTAACCTCAGAGGAGTTGCAAGTGGATTGCCATCTTTTTAGGGATTGGAGAGGAATGGGAATAATTGGGCCTCCTCCCTCACTCACAATGCGAAATACAACGCAATTATTTCACGCCGGTTTTCTATGACTGCTCGGTTGGCGCGGTGGCTGGGCAACCGGCTGGCGCGCAACGTGTCGCGGTTTCGATTCCCGCACGGAACAACTCTTTGTGTGAACCACAGATTGTTGTTCCGGGTCTGGGTGTGATGTGCATGTGAAATAGTATGTTTGTAAACGCACCCACAACACAGGAGAAAATCCTAGTGTGGGGCAATATTTCTAAAATTAAGAATGATTATTATAATTTCCATCAGGCCATTCGTGCTGAAGTGTGACTCTCCGACGTTTATGTAATAATTGAAGAATCACTACTGTAGGAGAATGGACAAGAAGCTTCTGCTGGTTGGCTATCTAATCATGATTGGCAGCTCCAGGACTCCGTCGTACTTACTAGACATGTCACAGAATAGGACTGTTCAATTGCGTTGATATATACCTACCTATGTTATCGATTAAATTTAATGTACCTACTTACCTAATACATATATGAAACATACTACAGTTGCGACATTACTCGATAGGGTCACGTTCGAGGAGACGCACGAGCTGGTGGTGAACGCGTCCGTGGAGTTTATCTTGACATTTGCACCGGTGAGTCCTGACAAATTGTAGGTACCTACACCTCCTCCACACACATAGAAGTTTGTAACTTTTTACAGAGTCCAAGAATAGCCACATTCCTAGAATGATGAAAAGAACATGAATTGTGTCTGTCTACATCATGTGAAGCAGTTGGCACTTTCTTGTGTGACTGCTATCTTGATAAAAAATCTACATAATTGCTTCAATTCATGGATATTCTTAAGCTGAGTACGCGATCGCTAATAACTGCAATAATAAACTAACAACGTTCGCAAACGTACGTTAATAATCGTGAGATGCACTAAATTAATTAAAATGTAACAACTACCCTATTAGCTGCGCGACGCACGGCGAATAAGCGTCCCGGTTTGAAAGTAGTCGATTTTTTTTGTATGAATATTTAAGTTAATTCATTATGCGTTGCTGATATGAACACTGATATTTGTAGCATCCAGGGCAAGGAGTGTGGCCAATACGAGTTTGGATTAAAACAGACGGTGGCGACACGTCTCGACCGCTGCTGGTCACTGCGAGGCGAAGAATAGGTAAAGTTTATACCTGCGTACTGTGGCGCTTCGGCCGGGCAAAGTAAGTAAGCGTGTGTGTGTGTGTGCAGGCGCCTGGACGTGGCAGCTGCCGTACCGGTCGGGCAGCTCGCTGCTGTACCAGCTGGAGCGCACGCTGTGCCCCGACGACAGCGTCGACGTGGAGAAACTCGATGAAAACTGTGGTCAGTAACTATAGTACCACCATACATACTTTCGCTCTCTACTAGAACTTCACATTTCTTGTACTCGTACCTACCGCCACTGGCTACTTGTACATACACCCTGCTGTAACTCGACATCTCCTGTAGCCACAGCACAAATAGGTATGCTTCGTGGCTATTAGCTGCTTATACCGCACGACCTGAGCAACCTATCGCAAGGTTCACTGGCTACCAATAGAGGTCTCGGGTTCGATTAGTTAGTAGTTAGTTCAACCAAACCATTCTATAATCAATTTTTAGTCGGTAACAGTCTGACGCTTACTACATTTCGTAGTTACCGATTTAGCTCCATCCTATAGGGAGACTTTTAGTACAACAAAAAAAAGCTATATTGTGTTATGTTGGTTGTGCAAATATACTGCATATAATTATACCTACGGGGTCTTTAGAATCGGACGATCCATCGGTTTCGGCGTCGGGCGAGTTCTCCCTGCACGTGGGCTCGTCGTGCGCGGCGCCGTCGCGCGTGCAGCTGCGCGCCTCCTTCGTGCGCGACTGGCGACTGCCGTTTAAGTCGTCTACCTCCGTGGTCACGCAACAGGTTCGTACACTTCCAATTTGGTCCTTTAATTCAAATACGTTGGTAGGTGTCTAGGTAACATTAGTCGTTTCACTACGTAAGTGAGGGCAAGTTGCAAGTGTAGGGTTGTGTCGCAGGGAGCCCCGCGCGTGCACACGTACCAGTTCCTGCCGGAGCAGTACAGCGTGCGCCTCGTGGTGGAGGCCTCCGACGACGTGTGCGCCACCATCGCCGTGCAGAACTACACGGTCTGTACAGTTTGCACTCTCTGCCAGGTATAGTTACAACTAACAGGCACTTGCTGGCTATTTAAATTATAAAAATTACTATTTCAGTGTCCGATAGCAGAATCTCTGGAGGAAATCGAAATATCGACCCTAAGGATGACCGTGCTGCGGTCCGGCGCAATGCAGATCTCGGTAACGACAACGATGAGGTAGAGCGTCGAGCAGGTATGTGGCCGCGGCGAGGTACTAACGCAGACTGTTGCATGCGAGCAGCGGAGCCGGTACCCGCGCGGCTTCTACGTGCTGGCCGTGGTGCACGACTCGGACGCGGCGTGCCGCGAGGAGGACGCGCCCGAGGTGGACTGGCTGTGGGAGGCCGCCGTGCTGCAGCAACTGCAGGAGCCCGAGCACTCCGCGCCGCCGCGCCGCAAGGCGCTCACTCTGCACGTGCGGGTACGACACGCGGCCGGGCCGGGGCCGGGGGCCCGCGCCCCTTGCTAATGTAGCGCGCGGTGTGTGCAGGCGTCGCTGTCACGCGAGCAGTACGCGGGGGCGGCGGCCGCGTCGCTGGCGCTCTTCGTGATGTTCTACGTGCTGTTCGGGGCGTTCGTGCTGGCGCAGCGCCTGCCGCGCTGGAAGAACCTGGTCGGCCCGCGCGCCGTCCTCGCACGCAGTGAGACATACCTACTGTGTATATACCATAATGTGCTTAATAATCTGGCCAACATAATTATTTCAGACAGGTATCTTTGCTTTCAGAACCAGAAGAGGGTGCAAGATCTGAGATCGACAGCGTTGTATCGCTGTCACCGCGACAACGACGACGCCGTGACTCCAGTGAGTGTCTCGAGTGTCGGCTCTTATTGGTTGATTTGCGATTTAGACTAGCAGTCTAGTCGTGCGCCAGATAGCCCTAGTATAAAACAAAAACTATTAAGCTTTCAAAAAGCGCATATCTATTAGTGGTTCTAAACAAAACAAGGCTAAGTAACGTGTTTGGTTGTAGCCGCGACGTTCGACAGCAGCGACAACAGTGACACGGACGAGGAAGACACGGCGACCGGCACCACCACCGTGGCCACCGTGACCACCCCTCCACCCGCCGTGGTCGCTGTCAGCACCCAGGACGAGACCAACCCCGGCAGTAGGAGCGCGGTGTCAGTGGGCACGGACCCCGCGCCGCCGCCCGGCGATGGTGTCACCACGAGGGTGGACTCCAGCGTGGTGCCCGGCGGCGACGACACGCGGCGCTCGGCCATAGAACAGTCCACTCAAACCAGCAATGGTATACACGGCTTGGATGCTGCAGGAGAACAGGTGACACACGCTTCTCAGCACCCCGCACAATGAGATAGGGCAGTAGTAGTGTAGCGAGGCTGCGTGCGCAGACGGAGGCCCCGCGGCCGTTCGGGCTGCCGGCGCGGCTGCACGTGGCGGCGCTGGCGCGGCGGCGCGCGCGCGTGCTGGCGGCGCGCTCGGACCGCTACCTGTACACGCTGTACACCGTCGGCCTGTTCTACGCGCTGCCCGTGCTGCAGTTCGTCGCCGCCTTCCAGATCGTGAGTATACGCGCGACCGCCGGCGCCGCCCGCGGTCGTGACGCTGACGCGCTGTGGCTTGCAGTTCCTCAACTTCTCGGGGTCGCTGGACACCTGCTACTACAACTTCCTGTGTGCGCACCCGGTGTCGGGGCTGTCGGACTTCAACCACGTGTTCTCCAACATCGGCTACCTCTTGCTGGGCGCGCTGTTCATGCTGCAGGTGCGCCGCCGCAGGATGCGACGGAAGAGGAAGCCCAGAGACGAGGTACTAGCCGCTGGCAGCTGGCTCTGGTTACCCAGACGGTATACTAACCAAGTTGCCTTACAAACAAACGTAACGCAATACAAACACACAATTAATATTGTCCGAACACATGGAAATGTCTTTGTATAGAGACTGCCTCGTACTAAGTACAAGTGGACGCTTGCAGGAGTACGGGATCCCGGCACACTACGGGCTGCTGTCGTCGCTGGGCGCCGCCATGATGATGGTGGCGCTACTGTCCGCCACCTACCACGTCTGCCCCAACGCACTCAACTTCCAATTCGGTGCGTACCTACCACTACTTTTGCAAGTGGAGTGATCATCTGATGGTAGACGGTCAGCGACACCCGCCTCACCAGAGGAGTCACAGTCGCGTTGCCGGCCGAATACCATTATTGAATAGTAAAAGTTAAAGAGTGGTGCGGTTGGATGCGATTCTAGACAGTTTGCACCAATCGAGTGACAGTAGCTATGTTTAGGTTATAAACTGATAGGATCCGAAATATGAAATCAAACACACTTGGTAAAATAGCGGCTATCATGAAGTGAAATAACCAAGGACTTTATATGTGTTTGGGCGGAAAATGAGTTAGTGGATGGAACTCTAGGGCGCTTTGAATTAGGGATCAGGATGGGGAAAGGATAGGGCCCTCGGTAAACACATTCAAATTATGAAACACAACACGTCATGAAGGAAATTCGGTCGGTGTACGGCACCCTGCATTCCGCGCGCCTCTAACAGCTATTGTGCCTCCGCCACAACCACTAGAGGCGGGGCTCACTAGAGCCAACACCCGGCTTGGGTTACAAACCACGCACAATAATTTCATCACTCACTCACTCCACCTCTGGAGAGAGAAAGCATTTAAAAATAGTGTCTGACGTATAGTATGTGTATGTATTGCAGACACGGCGTTCATGTACGTGCTGGCAGTGCTGTGCATGGTGAAGATCTACCAGGCGCGCCACCCCGACATCAACGCGCGCGCCCACGCCACCTTCGGCGTGCTGGCCGTGCTCATCTTGCTCGGTAACCGATGCATCCATCTTGTAATACCTTCATTCGTATAATTTCAAACATTTGTTTCTAGGGCATCGGTTATGTTGCGGATGTTGGTGCAACACGTTGTCGTTATTGGTAGAGTGGGTGATAGTTGTCAGTAAAGTGTGTAGTGAGCGGTGCGTGTGTGCGTGTGCGCAGTGGTGTGGGGCGTGCTGGGCGGCGGGCCGCTGTTCTGGAGCGTCTTCACCGTGCTGCACGTCTTCACCTTCCTGCTGCTGTCGCTGCGCATCTACTACGTCGGACAATTCCGCCTCGGTATCTCGCTCACTTTATACTTTTTTTTATATATATTAACATTGCTTTCATATTATTTTATGCTATATAGTAAGGATCACAATAATTAAATGAAACGTATTGTATACATACGTACATTACCTATTTACTTAGTAAACCGTAACGTCACAAGATCATATCAATATAACATGTACTTATACTTATCGGCAAAATTCATTGATTCCGTAAGAAAAGCAAAAATACCTGTTTCATAAAACCAAAGAGAATACAAAGTTATATCGTCATTGCATGAAACGGATCACGTTAAAAGTACATAATTTGACTTTTCCTCAGTTTTTACATCATAGCTACCTATACATATATGGTTTCACTCGATACCTTTAAACATCTGCGATTGTTCTGGAAAGGCACAGAACTGTAAGGTGGCCATAAATACACGCGTGCGTAACTGCGTATGGTTGCGGGCGCGACGTGTAGTAGGCCAGTAGTGAGTGGTTGGCTGGCGGTGTCGCAGAGAAGCAGAGCCTGGCGGAGGCGGCGCGCGAGCTGGCGTCGGTGCCGGCGCGCGGCCTGCGTCCGCTGTACTCGGCGCGCCTCGTCATGCTGCTCATCGCCAACGCCGTCAACTGGGCCTTCGCGCTCTACGGGTACGTCGTCCCGCACTCCGTACTACCGGCGCGTGCCTCGCTCCATCACCTCTGCCTTCTGCTGTAACTGAATACGAATCTGCAAACATTTATTTGCTGATATCATTGATTGTATGACATTGATGACCCATTGTTACCGTAAAGTTTAGTCAGTCCAAAAAGTATACATGGCTGTGTACGTAGCGCACAGTTGTGGGTCGGACGGCAGGGACAGCATGAGTGTGTGTGTAGACTGTTCACGCAGAGCGCGGACTTCGCGTCGCACCTGCTGTCGGTGCTGCTGTGCAACACGCTGCTGTACATGGCGGTCTACCTCTGCATGAAGTTGCTGCACGGCGAGCGCCCGCGCTGGTACGCCTGGCTCTACCTCGCCGCCGCCACCGCCGCCTGGACGCCCGGACTCTACTTCTTCGTCACCGGCAGCACCGACTGGTACCATCTACATCCACTTTGTTCAGCACCCAGCAGTACTCACCCTGCGGTTCCCCAATCGTAGTCGTGTACTTAACTACCTAAATGAAAAATCGAACTCAGATTGCATTCAGTTGTGACTTAGTTCTGGACAGTAAATATGTTTTCGATATCTGATATTAACCATATATACCGTTGTAGTACGAGTAGCTACCCGGAACATACCTTAGTGAATGATGTGTTGCAGGGCGACGACCCCGGCGCTGTCCCGGCACCTGAACCACGAGTGCCGCGTGCTACAGTTCTACGACTCGCACGACTTGTGGCACTTCCTGTCGGCCATCGCTCTCTACTTCACCTTCAACGTCCTGCTGACGTGGGACGACGGGCTCGCTGCCGTCAAACGCACCGAAATCGCCGTCTTCTAATAAATGCCTTTCTTTTTAAATGTTTTTATTCTAATTTCGTGCTTTCAATATTACACGCACAACAGCCCACAAGTGAGACAGACACTGTAAGAATTATATGATTTGCACTTTGTGTTGCTCAGCCCAAGCAGGGACACCGCCACCGTGGTCTGGCGACTTGGCGACGCACTTAGTACCGACAAAAATTTAGCAGATGGCGTCACAAGTCCTAAAGTCAAAGTCAAAAATCATTTATTCCAATTAGACCTTTACAGGCACTTTTGAACGTCAAACAATTTTTTTTTAAAAATAGTGTCAGTCTGTCGGTCAGTCCTCTTAGTGAAGCTATTTGCTCGTTCCAATGTGTAGATTCCGATGGAGAAGAACGAGCAAGAAACTCCATGGTTACTCTTTTTAAATCAGTTTCACATACAGATTTCTTTTACAAACAGTTGGTTCAATTATGTGAGAACAGTGTAACACTAATATTTATTCAAATATAAAAATAAAGTAACCTTAAGGACAATAGACAGTCTGGAGCTGACCAGTCCCAACTGACGGCGCCCGTTCACGAGCATGACACGTACACCAGCATCGCCCAACTCAACCATAGATATTATAGGGAATTAAGCGATCCAGCGCCTATAGCGCCGCCAGTGTGACCTTTCAGTGAGCATGACAACTCCAAGCTGTTATAGGACCGACATTCTGCTAGTCTAAACAATTATAGTAGGTTACAGGGCACTCACATTTACGAATTTATCAAGTTATAGTTATACAATATAATGCAATTTCACTAAAATGAAGAAGTCCCATTCAAGCAAAATCCACTGGAACGTTATTTATTTTGGTGTAGGTTTGCTATCCTGTGGAGCAGGACCAGCATGTCTCCAAGCATCTATATCTACAATGTAATCATTCAGTATGTAGTATGCTTTTCTACATAAAGTTTTCTTTACACATAATTTAAAATTTCTTTCATTTAATTGTTGTATTGCCTGGGATTTTGTTATAACATTTAACACAGAATCCCATGAACGACTTATGTACCTTTGCCAATCTAAATAATGGCTGACATAATCTATCTCTATGTCTAGTTTGATAATTATGTCTATTTGACACCTTATCGAATATTTTTAAGTTTTTCCTAACATACATAATGTTTTCATAAATAAACTGACATGGCACGGTCATAATATTGATCTCTCTAAACTTTTCTCTAAGAGACTCACGACGCTTTAGGTTGTAAATAGCTCTGATGGCACGCTTTTGCAAGACAAAGATAGACTCAATGTCAGCAGCCTGTCCCCACAACAAGATGCCATACGACATAATGCTATGAAAGTAGCTGAAGTACACCAGTCTTGCAGTGTCCACATCTGTTAGCTGTTGGATCTTCCAGACAGCAAATGCTGCAGAGCTCAACCGTCCTGCCAGAGATGTGATATGGGGCCCCCATTGTAGTTTGTCATCTATGGTTATACCCAGAAAAGTAGTTTGTTTTGCAAATTCCAATTTATTAATTGTAATATGTCACATTCGTTACTTTTAACATTTGGCAAACTGAATCGTATACACTTTGTCTTTTTGTCGTTTAGGACTATTAATAATATATATAGGAATTATTAACTGTAAACCAATTATGAACCTTCGTAATAGCATTATTTACGTCGTCACAATTATCTGTCCGTCTATTTATTTAAAAAATCAACGATGTGTCATCAGCAAATAATACCATTCCCGGTTCACGTTGAAATAAACGAGGTAAATCATTTATGTACACTAAAAACAGGAAAGGACCTAATATCGAGCCCTGCGGTACGCCCATAGATATGCTAGTACCCTGGGAGTTCACTTTATTTACTTGTACCTACATCACCCAAGTGAAGTTTGTGCGTGAATATATTTATATATAGAAATTCTTAACCTCCAATTGTTGGGCAGTAGCCCGCCAGGCATGAAAACCCCACCCGGTCGAATGATCCTCCTTTTCCGATCTTAGGGAACTTTAACTCCCTTTTCTCTAAAGTGGTATACTTCACCCGAGCCGCGTATACCTACTCTAGTAGCTCATTTCGTTGTTTAATCTAATACTTAAAATCTAAAACTTTAATCTAAACTTACGACTTAGCGATTAGCGACTCATTTTAGGAATCGTATTAAGAATTCAAGAGCCGAGACTCGGTAATTGATTACATGATTACATCCGCGCTCTCGCCGATCCTCCTAATCCCTCAAGTATAAGTTGTCAAATTTATGCTATTCTTTATTACCACCACAAATCCTTGCTAACCATACCACAGTGTTTTTATTTATTATTCCAGTACGAGAAAAAATATTCTTTTAGTACCTACATAAAAGTAGATTAAATTACATAATATCTACTTTTTTGTTAATGAAACTGAAGGTGCGCTTATTTCTAAAATTATAGGTAAATAGAAAGTATACAATGATGATACACACGAATTATTATATAATCAGTATGTCTGTCCATTTAACATGTAATCTATTCGCATATTTTTTATTCTAAATATAAAATTCGATCGCAAGTGTCTTAACGTGTCGCGAGGGAACTATTCTCCTCGCGCCTCGCTTACAACCAAAAATCACATAAATGATCGGCCGGTGATTATACTTATATATTATTTAATTATACTTTTTGGGTGACATAACTAATATAATAAATTACTTGTTGTAGTTAGTTTTTTTTGTAAATCAATATTTTCAAATCTTCTCCTCGAAGAGAACGAACGAAACGTTGTTGAAAAATTCTTGTCAGTGACAGGACATGACATAGTGACGTCACGTCAATGAGTGATAGTCGCGTTCTCATTATTTTTGTTTCGCAATCTTGAATTACTTGAATAAACTTATTGTTTTGTCACAAAAAAGTAGATTAACCCGCTCTGGAAAATATCATCACCATGGATAATCAATATTACTACAAATTAATGGCCAATTACCTTTCAAAACGGAATTGTGACGAGTCGTTCATGAGGTATTTTTTTGGAAAGAATTCGTTAAAGAAAACGCCCGAAGAATTGGAACGGGCAGATGAGAGGAAAAGAAGACTCCAACGAGAACGGTCACGTAGATATCGAGCGTTAAAGAATGCTCGCCGCCAGCATGAGGGAGGTGGCAGCAGTGGTGGACGGGACAGCGTAGACGGTGACCCGACGCGGTCCAAGTCACGCGCCCTCTCCCTTGAAGAAGAGTATAGCGACGGTGATGAACCACCCACACTATGCGACCTCAGCTATGATGACAAGTGGCGGGAACATGCAGCCACATCTGACTGCGCTTCTGACGACAACTCGGCGCAGTCGGCGGCCGAGCTTACCGACACGCCGTTGACAGGCGACCCGCCACTGAGCCTGCGCGAGCTGCTCAACTCGCCCAACGCCGAGCTCGACTACTCCACTGTGCACAGTCTCATGTTTCACTGGCTGCAAACGTAACACTCTGCTCCATACACTCCACCTATATTGCATGTAACTACTTTGGCACCCAATCAACTGGTTTTGTTCAATGATTCTTCTGTGTAATAAGTGCATTCAGCCTTAACTTCCTTATCAAATGCTACTAGGAGTCCTGGCAATCAGTAGGCATCAGCTGTTACTGTTTGTCATGTATGTTTTTGAAACAAAGGATTGGAGTAGGTGAACACATATCAAAATGTTGCTGCTTCTATGATACATTGATCACATGTGTTGTCAGAACCGTCCTGCTATGATTTATTGACTAATTAGATTAGATTGTAGTTTATATTATGTACTTTGACTGTAGACGATAATAATGGTTCAGGGTGGTTTAACAAGCTAAGCGATTTAGGTACAAGTTTTTTTTATATAAATAAAAGCTTGTGAAAAGGGTAAAATGTAAGCTTTCCAAGAAGCAAACTGTGTACTGCCCCACAAGTTGTAGTTTTATACAATACATAATGTGGATGGACACACAATATGTAGTTGCATTGGCATTACTTGACACATATCACTCCTTAATCTCAACAAGTTGCTTTAAAAGCCGTGCCATGCTGTGTCCGCGAACAAGAGGTAGTGATCACTGCGCTGTCAGATATGTGGTGCAGTGTTGTGAGCACACACCACTAGCTCATAGAGTATTCCACTAGACAATAAGTTGTTGCTAAGTTGCCATATCCTAATATTTAGATACTCAATAATTATACATAATTTTATCATATATGCATAGAAAAGTATAGAATATATTATATACCTATAGTTTGTGATACAAGTGAATTTACATTTTGTGTAAAATCTACAATGTTAGGTAGTAAACAGAGTGATAGTGTAAGTTGGGTGTGTGGGTTGTCTCACAGCCTGGTGACATGTAGTGTTGTGCCATCTGGGCAAGTGTGTGTGGTATCTAGTGCGACAGTAGTGCTTTAATTATGATGTAACATTCCTAAATTTCATGCTGCTTTTAACATTAATGAAGGTATAGAAATCAGCATTTAAAGAACAATGAGGTCCAATACAGTTTACATGGTCCATATTATTTGTTTTAGTAGTGAATGTCCACTAAGTTGCGAGCTTTCTATTATTCAGGTAGTACTTACATGTGCCATCACACCTGCATTGCATGGTAGTGTGGCTCACCTCAGAGTGGCTCACTGTATTAAAGCTGTAGCTCCATTTATTCTTAAAAAAGGTAATAGTAATATTGTTTTAGACTAGGATCTAAACCTTATCATGTCTGTAGGTATTAGGGACAACTATACCTTTTAAGAAGTAGGTATCTGAATGTTTTGTATTATCATCCTAAATTAAATTAAAAGAGAGATATAATATTACAAGTACTAGTGCTGGTACTATAGGTTTTATCTACAAATAATATTGGTTTAAAACTTTGAAGAATCAGTTCTCTAAAAACTTTGTTGAACCACCTACTTATCAAAATATGCAATACTTTAAATTATAAAATTCATATTGTAAATAGAGCAGGGGAGTGAGGCTTCCATTCTGACCTTTAGTAAAAAAAGGAAGAATATTAACATGGAACTTGTGTGTATGTGTTTTTTAAAACCCATACACAAATTCCTATCTTTTATTTAGAAAGTGATATTTCTCTACTGTAAGTAGAGGTAGACAAATAGGTCTAAGACAATTGTTTGTCTCTTACTTTTGTCTAGCTATCAGTCTTTTCTGCAAATTTGTCTTTTTTGCTTACAAAGTCACAACTCCTCATCTAGTACAATCATTATAGAATGAAAACACACTTAGATTTGTACCCAATAGCAATAGAGTCAACCGAGGAACTTTCACGCCACGCAACCCCACACAGAGCTAGTTTAAAGTAATTTTAATTTATAGGGAAGGTAAGATACCTTACTAATTTTTTACAAGTAACTAATACGTAGCTAAGTTTTAGAAATGTATACCAATACCTAATTTAATTATATTGATTTTACATTTGGTTACAATATTATTAAGTATTTCGCTTGTTTCGCTCTATGTATTTCGCAAAATGAGTGTGTGTGTGTGTGTGTAAGTACACGCGATTGAAACAAAAGGGTCAGTTGACATCAAGACGCGACCGAAATCAGAACTCGATGCTTAAAACCTACTTAGTCAAATTCAATACTTTTTGGGTCAAAATTTACAATTTTTTCATGAATATCTATTTATGTGTTGTGTCGTCCGTTTTTTTTTGTCAGACAATATATATTTTTTAATCTGTATGATTAAAAAAACGTGATTACTTCATCAAACCCCAAGCAAACGCGAGCGTTCTAGATTCTATTGTGTCTTGAATTGACAGGATAAAATTAAATTTCGTGGCTACCTTAAAGTCTGCATGTTACTATATATGGTAGGTTACACACACAACATAAATAGGTACGTCATATAAATGTAAGTAGGTAGTTACCTACTTATAAATTGTTGTTTCTTAAGAAGCTATATACAAACAATAAACACATCGAAAAATGTAGTTTACAACATGTTGTGCTGCTGGTGTAGCGAAACTAGCAAATAGGTGAAAATTTAATATTATGTCGATCTGAGAATAGCTTCAGTGTTTAAAATATACCTAATAGATCTGTGAATGAACGTATGCAAACAGAAGATTCAGTCAATCTTTGTGTTCATTTTATGCGATTTTATTTCTTTAGTACGTGGATATATGGCACGGTTGTGATTGTATGGTGCGGTTGGCGTAGCGGCTGGGTGACCAACTATTGAGGTTAAGCAACTTGCCGCTTTTTAACCCATACAAAATTTGTATTAGCAGTTGGAATCCTGTATAGGAACTCAGTGTATTAATAATTTTACAGTATTGACCTGCGGATCCACCCATTATAATGTCGGTAATCGGTATCACCCAGCATGTTGTGCAGAGGAAAAGCTTGTTACTACACTACGCATATACAATACAAGTATGTCTAGGTGCTTTAATTAACTATTGTTAAACTTAATAATAATCTCATTGTGTTGTAGGCTGTATAGGTACTTATAAATATGTATGTATATGACTAAAATAAACTATGTTTGATATGGATCGCATGCTGGACAAACAAGTAGATTGTCAGATCTGACAATTGTGCTAGTAAATTAATAATAATATAGATATTATTAGGATAATATTATTACCTACACGGATTAGCAATTTATGACATAGGTTTAAATAATAGGTATGAAATTGCCGTTTTGCATGAAAAAATTTAAACGATTTTTTTTATTTGAAATGCGATGAAAATGTAACACTAATCAATAAACAAATGACTACTTTTGGAAAAAGAATCCCATGTTTTTAAAACAAAATTAATTAGCCTTAGCCTAACAAAAACTATTTTGATTTGACATGAGCCAGAACTGCAGAACGGCAATTTCATAGGTAAAGTTACCTATTGTTCCAAAACAAGCATTCAGGTATATCACAGCAGGTATATTTGAAATAGGTCTTATTAATCGGAGCCACATTACCGGCCGATAAATATTGCACATTGCCTTTGCAGCTCATGATTATGAGCCGCTAAAAATAATTGAACACTCGCCTCGAATCATAAAATGGTGATGGAAACTTTTGTGCAAATAAATTATTTTAATAAAATTAATTGTCTATGTATTCTTTCCGAAAGTCGATGTGTTTGATTTTTCTTCGTCGCCGGTTTGAGGGTATTTTTTTATTTTGCTTAAAATATTGTTTCCTAACGTAGATAATGAAACTAAAATTCAACGTATATGTTTTCCTTCATGTACCAAACTGCCGGACTAAACAGATGTATATCCTATCACAGTTTTGTTCATCCTAATGATAATATCTTACAAAGCTAGGTGTCCAGCAGCCGAACCTATCAATGCCATGGGTGAAAATGTTCTGTGAATTGTAAGTAGATAGGTACTTTAAGGTAGTGCCATATTAAAGAGCTTCCTGTCTATTTTTAACTGGTATTTTTATTCATCTTCCTGGCTTCTGCTTTCCCGGCCTACCCAAGCGAGCAGGTAGGTACCTAACATTATTATTTATTTTTGGGGGAAAAGTCATCAAGTGTCTTCCGCCCTGGGTGGGGCAAGCTAGAGGGAGTGTGGAGACTTTTTTATCTTCAAAGAACATTCTGTTATGATAAAACCGCTCCGTTTCTTCTTCTACTCTGAGCCGGGCTAAATTAATGAGGATAAACCCGCAACCCCGGCTTGAGATCGGGCCTAGTTGCGTCGCCCGAAGAATTGCAAAAGATAAAAGAGGGAAACCCCACTATAGCTCCATCTTGTGATCAAAATAGGGTCCATTCTTTAATTAATGGCGAGGTGCCGTCCAAACATCTATCAATAGAACTACATTATACGTTCATGTAGGCAATTAGGCATGTAGGTAGTTTATAAATGGTAGGTACTTACCTATATCAAATCTTATTTTTTATTTGATTATTAATAGGTAGGTACTTTAAAATGATTATTACTGATGTCCTACTTATGTTAATCTGATTAGTTCTAGTTTTAGTTTCTATATAGGTACATATTTTGTGTGTATAAACGCGTAATTTTAAGAATGTTGTAGAATGTAAAGCTCGTAACTGGCTAATATATAAGACTTAGGTACTACCTATAACCAACACTTTAAACCACTTTGTATACATAAGCTGTGAGCCTACCTTATTATAATAACTAAACATTAATGTGGAATTAGAGCAAAAAGTTCAATATTATGTGTGTACATATGACTCAGGTTGGCTGGACAATTTTTTTTTTTTTATTTAATAGGTCGGCAAACGAGCAGACGTATTACCTGATGGTAAGCAACCAGCGCCGCCCATGGACACCCGCAACGGAGGAGTTACGAGTGCGTTGCCGACCTTTTAGGGATTAGGGATTTGGAGATTTAGGAACTGGGGAGGTATTAGGGAAGGGGAAGGATTGGGCCTCCGGTAACCCCACTCACACGGCGAAACACAACACTGTGGTTGTTTCACGCCGGTTTTCTGTGAGACCGTGGTATCACTCCGGTCGAGCCGACCCATTCGTGCCGAAGCATGGCTCTCCCACACTTTAAATCAAAGTCAAATATCAAATCTTCAAAATAGCATCTTCATAGGCTTCAAAATAGCAGCTTCATAGGTCACATTATGTCACGGCTAAACACCCTTATTTCAGAATTTGTGACGCTACAGAATCTTAGATAATCGATCGAAAACGTGTCTAGCCATCTTGAAAAACCACTTTTCGCTGGTCTCTCAATCTCGGTAACGGAAGTGATTTTGACGGCTTTTTGCATATCAACGGGCGTCACATAAATTTGTGACGGGCACCCAGCTAAAAGTTTTGTGATAAGTACACTGGTTTAGTAGAAAAATGCAAAAATCTGTGTCCAGCCATCTTGAATTTACGTATAAAACTTATGGCTGGCACTTCCGAATCTCGTAATAACGGGGGCGTTTTCGAATATGGTTCCTTTACTAATATTTGGTGACGCAATTTGTGACAGTAATAACGTTTGATTTATGACGTCACATGTAACGGGTTTACAAGAAATCAATAAAAAACTTAATGTCTAGCCAACCTGAATTCAAGATGGCTGGACACATGTATCTCGTCTGCCTGATGATCAACGACCTTCGAAATGTGTTCAAAAACATTTCGTGTGTGTTTTGTGACGGGGACGATAACGATAACCTGAAATTGTTCCGGAGAAACGTTGCGTAGTTTCAAAGATATTGACTATTTAATTTTTTCCATACAAACACTGCAGTAGGGTAACCAATATTGTAGGTTTTATGTAGGACAAGTATATTTTAAGGTGTTTTCTTTAATGGACGATAAGCCGTGTATTGGTGATACTAATACAAACAACTGTACATATTTAAACGTCGGAGGACAAGACAAACAATACTATATTTATAGCATATTTATGTGACAATAATGCAGAGAATAAGTTATTAAAAGCAAACGCTGGGATCAGACAATACTTCCGTAGGCCAGTGGAGCCGAGGGAACTATCCACATAGCACATGAACATGTTTTTCAACATTTAGCTGTCTATCTTTAAAGAAAACGCAGTGTCTTATCCCGTAATAATCTGATTACAGCAAACATAATCGTGATCAACGCAATTAAAAGCTTTTGGGAGACGCCGACATAGCATCTTGTGCTACCTCCCGAGTACTAAATATTTTTTTCATTCAAGTGGCTTGACACGCTTCCGCATCTCTAGTATAAGGTTTAATTTTGTAATAGATAACAAATTATTCAAATAATTAAATATTTATTTTATTTTATATTTGCATTATCTAAATGTGTTTGAGATTACAAAAATATACAATTTCTTCAGTTACAAAACATTAATATTGCAGGTAACTACAAAGTAGGATATACCTACTAATAGATACGTAGGTTGCAAGTACTGCCAAGGTTAAAGTTGCCGCAGTGCCGAATTCCTGCCATTGAGGTGTTGTCCGACTGTGCTGCCTGCCTGGCTGGCTGGCTTCGAGCTAGGTCGCTAAGTATTCATGGTGATGGGATTTTGTATATTTGTATTTGTACCTAAAGTCACATAATATTTAGTAACTGTTTCTCTTATATATCATAGAAATTCATCTTTCTGTTGACAATTTCTATGTCAGCATTCATATACTCTAGCAGCAGCAGCAAACGCATCACCACTTATCTGTCGCGGCAGTAGGCGATGTACTGCACATCGCCTACTGCCGCGACAGATAAGTTTTCCGCAACACTGTTGCCTAGGTCGAATGTTTTTTTTATGAAATTTATAGGAACACTGCCTACTGTAATACCGTGGCAACGTTGCTGCGTGCAACGTGGTTCGAAATCATGCCGTACCTAAAAGAAACCCACGAGTAAGCGACCGAATTTTGCTGTTGTCCATATCGTCCGCCGACCGTAGCGATCGTGTGGTAACCACACGTTCTGCCCATTTTTGTTCATAAGCAATAGACATTTAAAAGATTTTTCAACATTAGCGTCGTCTGACCTACATAATATATGTAATACAAATACCTATATGGGTATATTACGACCGACACAATTTTTGAAATAGTATCTTTTGTTGACGTCACATTCCTCGTTCATAACTTAGTAACGACCTCAGATAGGCATCCTATCACTATGCAATTGTGGTACCTGTATCTAGTACTTGCGTCCTACGCATGGTCATTGGAGCGTAGAGTACACTATAGATGGTGCAAGAATCTTACATTTTTCCAACTGTAAAAGTTAATTAGAAGCAAGTATAATGTATGCGGGCGCGTGCGGTTCTGAATGGATGAGCATGAGCACAGAGCCGGCGGAGCTGGCGCGCGGTGCGCAGTGCCGCCGCGGCCGTGCTCTGCCCCGCCGCCGCCGGCCGAGCGGCCTCGCGCCTTGTCGCGCCTTCCGCGTGGGCGACCGCCGACCAGCCGCCCGCCAACTCACGGTCTCTTAGTTAATGTCGCCAACTCTCCTTCACACGAATTATGAAAACCCGCACCATGTACAAAATAACTTACGTGACAAGGAAGAAACAGGTAACTTTCTAGAAATAATTACTTATATGGAATGTGCTCCAATATTTAATACTGGTAATGGATTAACCACCGTTAAATTAATGAAACATCTAACACATTTTGCTCTGAGCTACCGTTGTTCTTCAAGGTGTCACTCACTGTCTCGACTAGCGGGAACCCACCGACGGCCGCGCGAGCCCATACGCCTCGACACTCACCCTTGTAGTCATCAGCATTGAGTGAATATATCATGGCTCCCCCCAACTTATTTTCAATTATAAACTTAGCTTTCTCCATTACACTGTGCAGGTCCTCATAAGATACCCATTCTTTGCTTTTATACAAAAAAGAGACCTTAGCTTCATTGTCTCTAGTAATTGAGACATTGTTAGTGGTGGTGACAAATGCACACACATCTGGATAGTTAATAAACCCGAGTGATCCAAGGGATCCAAAGCCAGAAGCTGGGCTGCTTACTTGGTGGTTGTCAACATTGACCAAAGAGAATGTATGACCATAAGTAGGTATCCCAACAATTATTTTATTGCGATCTAAACCCTTGTCCAGATACATGTGTATGGTGTAGTTAATATTCAATGTAGCTAAGTATAGCTGTTCTGTACTCCGTGAGTAGAGGGGAGAGTTAAACCCAGTGAATGGAGTGTACTTGGTGAAGTAGTGGAAATCATAAGTCATGATGTTCACATAATCAACATACAGGTTCAGTTGATCAACATCATATGAAATATCAACAATTGCCTGAGGAGCTGCAGCAGCTACAGTTAGAAGATAATCCCGTTTTTCTCTTAAGTATTCCATACGGATCTCCCGAAGCAACTGTGAGAAATGTTGTCGCTCACGACCACCATGTAATGCACTATGTAAAGCTGGGAATTCCCAATCTAAGTCTATCCCGTCCAGGGAATGATTTCTCAATAAGTATTTCACTGACTTAATAAAAGTCTTTCTTGATGTGTGATTTAATACCATATCAGGAAAACCTTTATCACTTCCTGATCCTCCAACTGACACCAGAATTTTGAGATCAGGATTTGTGTGCTTGAGCTTCACCATTTCAGTGATTGTATGATATTGATGAGGCGCAAGACTTATCTCATTATTCACTACTTGAGCGAAGGCTAAGTTAATGTGTGTACACAAATTTGGATCAATACCAGTTGGCATTAATTGATCAGCAGCATGCTCGCTGGGCATGTTATAATAACATGATATCACTCTCTCTGCAACCCTTCTTTGTAGGCCTCCACTGACGACACTATTCCGCCACGTCCTATGTTGATACAAAGCGAAGCAAACTACTGCAGTCGCGCACACAAAGAGGAAACAGCTTGTCAAAATCAATCCTCTGCAACAATATTCCGCTTTTGTGTTTGTGGTATGATTATCACAATGATCATATTTAATATCTCTTAACTTATATTTCTTTTCTACCATATTAAAGCTCCCCATGATGAAGTTATCTGTGAATAATTTAAAAAACACAATGCTTTCAATTATTTAAAAACACAATAAGTGGCACTTTAGTATTCCGTAGCTACGCGAGCTAACAGTACCTATTAATTATTGTTTGAAAAATAATATTTACACGAAAATAAGGAAAATGAAAACAAACAAATCGTGTATTGTATTGTGTGTTTACAAACCTGACAGCTCGTTTTTACTTCACAGTTCACAGCACCAAAATATCACAGAATATTAATATTTCAAAGACTAACTACGCAGTACTACAAAATAAACAATAATTAGTTCTCGCGTCGTACTAAAACTGACTGTTATCGCAGATAAATAGGTAATTAGAACCTGTGTGGTATTTCATTATTTATTACAAATGTGTTAACATAAAATTATAGCTGTCTTGTAATCATAGAGTACTATTATATGCTTGTAATTAAAATATTAGTAATCTATGGTTACATGGAGTCAGAGATTATTGTAAACTATTTGTTCGTTCCTTTATGGTTAATTCGATTCAACTAATATATAATTCTTCTGCTGAAACGCGTGTAAACCGTAAGCACGGTTCTGCGAACGGCGAGTAAGGGTAGCTCGCCGTCCGACCAGAACCAGACCCGAGAGTACGGCGCGTAGCGTCCCATTAGCGTCCTGTAGGGCCCTACAGGCTACAGGGCTGATATTCAGCTAGGGTTGCGGGGTAAGCGCAATAAGGCACCGCGGCCTCAGCCTAAGCAGAAGAAGGAACGGGGTTTTTAGTCAGTAAAAGTCTGACACTCTCTCTCGCCTTACCCTGGACGGAAGTCATTTGATGACATTCTCAAACGAAAATACCGATTACGGTAGTTGCCAACAAGTCAAATTCAATACTTTTATGCAAATGTCAAAAACGATACCTTTCAATGTTTGTATCACTGACCTCTTTAATAAACGCATAGAGGTCAGTGGTTTGTATGAAACACTGAGTTATGACGTCATAGAATTCTTGCGTCAAATAGCTTACTTATTTCTTAAAAATTTGCTAAAAAATATTACGTAGAGTACGAGTAGGTTTTTTAAAATAAATCAACTATTTTGATGATGTTTAATCGTTTTAACGTAGTTTGACATGATACTTGATCATACGCTTACGTAATACGTAGAATAAATCGAACATGTTTAAATACGGAAAAAATGTTTTATATTATTTTGTCGGGTATATACACAAATTTGACATTACAAAATGTTTAATCCATTCTTTTTAAATTGGTTACTTGCATAATTGCTTCTAGGTGTGACGTATTCTAACTACAAATTCTCTATCTATTGAATATGTAATCAAATAGACTTAATTTTTATATATTGTAACTCGCGTGAAACGAGTTCCTACTGTGTATCAATTGATTATAATGCAAATTTTGATAGAATCTCAAAAAATCGAAAATCAGACTTACATCATACAAAATCGACACATATTTTTGAGGTTTTGGTGCTATAAACTATAACTAAACGTAGTGCATAATTCTCTTTGACTTTAACGTCGTCCGAAACGTTAGTTAGCTGGTCCTGTTTCTGTTCTTATAAAACTAGGATAGAGTATGATATTTTTTTTTTATATGTAAAGCTAGGAGTTACCATTCAGCCGTCTATTGCTTTAAATATGGAGGAATTATACTTTTCTATAGCCTTTATACGTCTACAGTTTTTCTATTTTATGCTCGCAAGCATTAGAGTGGTCTCCAACTCTCCACACCCACCCACCCATATCTGTTTGTGTGCTGTCATTCAGCAACAAGTTCGAATTTCTATGGAATTTCTTCATTTAGATACTTCAAATATTGACGTTGACAGTGCAAACGTCAGTCAATGTTTGACACTGACAATGAGCTAGCAGTCCTGATGTACTCACGATACAATTGTGCGATGTTGATAATCAAACCTTAATTAACTGTAGTAACTTGAATTATTTAATGCAGACCTGTATTCGGACAGTCACTGTAGGAGGTTTTATACAAACCTCTAAGCTGATTGGTAGACATGGACGACGTGTCCATGAATCGCTATGAAAAACAGCTGTATTCTGTGTTCAAAACCTTCGACGTAGATAACGAGGAAGCCTTAGACAGGTCAGCAGTTCACAAGCTTTGTGACGCATTGCAGCTCGAAGATCGCGGTGCGACCCTCGTGAATACTCTATTCGAGCGACGTTCCGGCCGCGTCACCTTCGCACAGTTCCGGAACGGGTTGCTGGCTGTGCTCGGTGCCTCAGGAGCCGAGCCAGTACGTGTGCTAACAGCACCGTCAGATGCTGCGACTGAAGCAGCTCCACATCACAGTGACGACGACTCCTCTGGCCGAGAAGTGGCCCCCAAATTTGTATTTGGATCTAAAAAATATGGTCGCCGCTCTAGACCAACTCGTTCAGGAGCTGCAGCTGATGAACCTACGAGTCCACGCTCCTCTTCAGCTTCACGATTGGACACCGACGATAAGAAGGCAAAACAACGAATGAGGTGTAGGAGAAGTGCTTCAGCGATGGAAACCCGGGGAGATAATGAAAATGGTGAAAGCAGTCAACCCAATGCTTCTTCAACAAATGTGTTTGAACATGACCGGCGCATTGACCGTGATGAAGCTTTCGCCTTGTGCCGTGATCTGAACATGGATGGTATAGACCAACAGCTTATAGAGCGGATATTTAATGACACTTCAGACACCACTGTAGGTGAGTTTTTTGATCGACTTAATGCTGAACTCACAACTACTATGGAAGAGGCCTCACGCGATGTTCCATCTTCAGCAACAATCACGGATGCCATTGCTGATGTGGCCCTTGATGATGCATCATCTGGATTACCCAGTGATCTAGTACTCGAGGCTTGGGAGCGAGCAGGAGTGCAGCAACCACGTCGCTTGCTAACTGAGCTTGGCTTTAGCGCAGTTGCGTTGAGCCTAACTGACCTGGAACATACCCTAGATGATGAATTACGGGCTGTCAGTGAATCGAGTGACGAGCCGCGCGATGCTCGCACGCTTTTACTTTTGGCGGCGCTTACACTGAGCCGACTGCGGCTAGAGCTAACGCGACGTCGCGTAGATGTGACTACTGCCGAGAGAGATAAGCTGCGAGGGGACGTAGCCGAGGCTAACAGACATGCGCGACTCCTGGCACAGGAAGTTGATGAAAGTCATGCTCGCATCGAGGCCGAACTGAAGGCGAGTCTCCGTCGTGCTGAGGCGCGTCATGCTGAATCCATGCGCCAAGCTGCCGCTGAACATGCGGCCGAGCGAGAGCGGGCTGCGGTCGCAAGAGCACGCCTCGAAGCAGAAGTGACGAGACGTGCTGAACTGGAGGCGCGCTTACGGGGCGAAATGGCTGGGCTGCGGGACCGCGCCGACGAGCTCGAGGGGCGCGTAGCGGCTGCAGAAGAGCGTTGCACCGAGACCGAGCGAGAACGAGCGCGGCTGGCGGGCGAGCTGCGCGCGGCGCTGGAGCAGGGCGCGGCGGCTCGCTCGTGCGACGTGCCCGCGGAGCTGGCGGAGCAGCTGAGCGAGCTGCGGCGCGACAACCAGCGCCTGCGCGACCGCAACGACGAGCTGTGCGCCGCGCTCGAGGCCAGTACTCGCCACGCGCCCGGCCCGCCCGAGCCCCGCAGCGGGGACCTCTCCACCGAATTGGACTCACTCTTCACTCATGACCACTCTGAGGTAAGTTGAATCAATGATGAATGAGCACAATACATTATTTAAGACAAAAGTATCTATGATATAAAAATTAATCGCAACTTTTGTTGGTAAGCACATTACTCTACAAGGCCTGGACCAATTTTGTCCAAAGGGAAAAGTGACCCTTTCGTTATTAGCGAGTTTAAATATGAGAATTTCACACTTAAGAAATAGATTTAAACATTTCAATGATTTTAGTTTTAGCAATGTATTATTCTGTCATAGCATTTTAATATGTCAACGAATATGCACGTTTGTTTTATGTAGTGGATTAGTAATCAATAGACCAGTAAGCAACAATTCTGACATTGATGACATTCAGTATACAGATATTAGTTGAGACTCAGGTTACTAACATATAGTAGATATTTTAAGGGTCTTATAACATAAAAGATGAAGAAAGATAATGTTAAAAATCTCTCAAATTATAGATTCTGAATGGAAACAGACCGAGCTCTGAGCTTAAAATTTATTTTTCCGCTGCAAGATACTGAGGTCTTCTAACTCTCCAGTACCGTTCCCAAAGGAAGCCAACACACCGTTTTCGAGAAAAACATCTTTTTGATTGTTTTAAATTTGGTTATCTAATTTTAAAAAACAAAAAGAAGTTTCGGTTATTTTACTAGGAAAGCTTTGGGATGCACAAATAAAAATTGACGCGGCGGGTTTTGTATGGAATAGTAGGTAAACCAGCTGACGGATTACTGATGGTAATGGATCTGCGCCGCCAATGGACACCTGCAGCACCTGAGGAGTCACAGGCGCGTTGCCGGCCTTTTAAGAAGGATATCGCGTGTTTCTTGATATTTACGCGGTACGGTGGCCTCACTCGACTCGCGCAGTGTTGACCAAATCTAATCCATTAAAATCGAGGAGCTCCAAGTCGTGGTTTCCACATTATAGCTATCAGTCTCCGGTAGTAGTCCGTAGGCTCGAAATAGCAACCATTTAGTCCAAGACCAAGGAAAAAGAAGTCGAAAGAAGTCACAAAAACAAAAGAACGCAGACCACATCACGAAACTAAGTAAGAACAAAGTAAACAATGTCACGTGACACACATATGTATACGTCACATCACTAGCTATTGTCGCGCGGTTTCACCCGCTGCTCGGCTCCTACACATTAGAAGTTCGTAGTTAGAAGTTTTATGCCCTAAAGTCTTCCTAATCTATTAAACACAACAATAAGTGTTCAATTCGAACCAGTAGTTCCTGAGATTAGCGTGTTAAAACAAACAAACTCTTCAGATTTATAATATTAGTAAAGATTATATGTTTTAATAAAGTCATTATTACAAAACGGATTTGGCTGTCAACCACATGCGACAACACAATACATAACAATAAATTAGGTACATTACCTAGCCATTGAAAACCATAAGTTGTAATCCCCAAGCGAACACCGCCGGTATCTTTTGTGGGGTTATCGCCTTGTCACGTTTCCTTTGCTCAAAATCTTAAAACCCAAACCGTAAGTTAACACCGACATTAATTTTATCACGAAATATTCGATTTTTTATTTAAGGCTAAGTTTTTGATTTGTCAAGGGCCCGTTTTAATTTATATGTCTTTGATTTTTGCGAAAAGTGCATTTTATTAGAAGTAGATACTAGGGATATCATTAGGAACTCAGCAAAGCCTATGAGTATGACCAATTTCACCACCACATTCCGGCTGCTGAATACTAAACCTAATCCCCTAGACTCATTTATGACCACTGTTTTCCAATGATAGGTACTTACATAGGTATTTAATTCATTTTTTATTTAGATGACATAATATTGTTACGTGCCTGACGTCACGTTCCTGACTATGCGGGCTTGGGTTACGGGATTGGATGAAATGAAACACTAATGCCGGTTTTCAGACTTTCTATTGCACTTAAGTTACAGCGTCCACGGAGTTAAGTTATCGGCGTTCCTCTCCAGCAGAGTCCGGCCGACTGACACAACTTTGCCGTTCACGCTGACTTAACTCACTTAACTGACTGCACTTCACTATTTCACTGCACTTCACTATTTCACTCACTTTTCTTCTTTCTCACTTCTTCCTTTTCTTCCGAATCGCTTTAGACTTAGAACTCAACTGCCAGCGGTGAGCCGCAGTTCCGCTTATATACCCCCCCGTCAGGTTCTGGAACATTCAATTTCGTTATTCTTTTTGATCGTCATGCCTCCAGAACCTTCCAATAATTTCGTTATTCATTTTTATTTATTCTCCTTCTCGCTCTTTAATTTTTCATTCTTTTCACACAAATAATTCCAGAAAGTTCGACAAAACTTCCATCAACTAAAAAACTTCATGTTTACGGCGGGACTCGAACTCGGGGTCTCTGTGGTGTAATCCAAACGTCTTACCGATTACACCAACTCGTGTTGACAATTCACGACGAAATTTACAATCTCTAGGCAACGTTTGACAACCATCCATTGACGTCATGATGTCTAAGAGTTTGAACCACTTTTCCGTCACACTGCCCCCCTCTTAGATTCGCTCGTCCCGAGCATCGTTGCTGCCGTAATACCTCGCCAACCTGTCTATATGGACAACTTTCAAAGGGCTCCTTGAAGTCTTCCGAATTCTGTAAGTAATGTCATTGATCTTCGTGACTATCTCATAAGGACCTTCCCAACTCGGTTGCAGCTTCGGAGATTTTCCCTTCCTTCTGACTGGATTATGAAGCCAGACCAATGACCCCTCTTCAAACCCAACAGCATTGGCTCGTCGATCATAGCGCGTCTTTGCGCGATCACTAGCTTGAAGACCGGCCTCCCTGACCTGCTCATAAATGTCCAACATTTTTGCCCTTAACTCGTTTATGTAATCGCTAAACTCGGTGCGAGTGTCGCCAGGTGGACAGCCCGATACAAGATCTGCCGGTAATCTCAATTCCCTTCCAAAATTTGCAAATGCAGGCGTCTTTGCGGTACTTTCATGTACAGCAGTCCGATAGGCAAGCAAGAAGAGAGGTATGTAAGTGTCCCAATCTCTCTGATGGCTGTCAACCACCTTTGCTAAGTGTCGCTCCAATGTTTGGTTGAAGCGTTCGACCATTCCATCTGACTGTGGATGATAAGGGGTCGTTCGAGTCTTATGGATTCCCAAAAGTTTACAAGTTTCCTGAAAAACTTGGGATTCAAAGTTCCGTCCTTGATCACTGTGCATCTCCAAGGGCACTCCGAATCGGGTGAATACCTCGTTCACCAACTTCGTGGCTACAGTTACTGCCTCTTGATTCGGTATGGCAAAGACCTCCGGCCATTTTGTAAAATAATCCATAACCACTAAAACGTAGCGATTGCCCGAATCAGTGATTGGAAATGGTCCAGCGATGTCTAAGGCTATTCTCTCCCAAGGCATACCAACATTGTAGATTTTCATCGCCCCTCTGCTTCTTGTTTGTGGACCCTTGACAGCTGCACAACTAGTGCATTTCCGGCACCAATCTTCGACGTCATATTTGCAATGCAACCAATAAAACCTCTCCTTGATCTTCACCAAAGTCCTCCTAATTCCCAAATGTCCTCCAGAAGATCCATCATGGAACGCTTTTAATACATCCCTTATTTTTGAACGAGGCACCACCAATTGCAAATGCTCGTCCTTGCCGTTTGTTGATTCCCATTTCCTGCACAGAAGTCCATTATGCAGCGTAAGGCTTTTCCACTGTGCCCATAAACCTTTCGTTACCGCGCTATATTGGGCGACGTCACTCCAACTTGGCTTGTTACCACTTCGTAGCCACTCCAGTATTGGTTTAATATCTGCATCTCTTTCCTGTTCTAATTTCATCGCATCATCTCCCCATGCCTCGTCAACAGTATCAGTCCTTATCACCTTAAGAAAAGCAGTTTCCTTCTTGGCACAATGCTTGCAATCTTCCACGCATGGGCGTCTCGATAATGCATCTGCGTTGCCATGAATTCTTCCTCCGCGATGTTCGATTTCAAAGTCAAATTCCTGAAGTTGTTCCAACCATCTGGCTACTTGGCCTTCGGGATCCTTAAACTGAAGCAGCCATTTCAAAGCAGCGTGATCAGTTCTGATCAAAAATTTCCGTCCCAGTAAATACTTCTTGAAATGGTGCAGAGTTTTGACTACGGCCAGCAATTCCCTCCTGGTCACGCAATAATTCCTCTCCGGCTTGGATAGTGACTTGCTGAAGTAAGCAATAACTCTTCAGATTTATAATATTAGTAAAGATTATATGTTTTAATAAAGTCATTATTACAAAACGGATTTGGCTGTCAACCACATGCGACAACACAATACATAACAATAAATTAGGTACATTACCTAGCCATTGAAAACCATAAGTTGTAATCCCCAAGCGAACACCGCCGGTATCTTTTGTGGGGTTATCGCCTTGTCACGTTTCCTTTGCTCAAAATCTTAAAACCCAAACCGTAAGTTAACACCGACATTAATTTTATCACGAAATATTCGATTTTTTATTTAAGGCTAAGTTTTTGATTTGTCAAGGGCCCGTTTTAATTTATATGTCTTTGATTTTTGCGAAAAGTGCATTTTATTAGAAGTAGATACTAGGGATATCATTAGGAACTCAGCAAAGCCTATGAGTATGACCAATTTCACCACCACATTCCGGCTGCTGAATACTAAACCTAATCCCCTAGACTCATTTATGACCACTGTTTTCCAATGATAGGTACTTACATAGGTATTTAATTCATTTTTTATTTAGATGACATAATATTGTTACGTGCCTGACGTCACGTTCCTGACTATGCGGGCTTGGGTTACGGGATTGGATGAAATGAAACACTAATGCCGGTTTTCAGACTTTCTATTGCACTTAAGTTACAGCGTCCACGGAGTTAAGTTATCGGCGTTCCTCTCCAGCAGAGTCCGGCCGACTGACACAACTTTGCCGTTCACGCTGACTTAACTCACTTAACTGACTGCACTTCACTATTTCACTGCACTTCACTATTTCACTCACTTTTCTTCTTTCTCACTTCT